TCAGTATGCTCGACTACACAGACGAACAACAAAATTGACAGTGGGAATAATTGTATGCGTTAGATTTTATATTTACAGACTTAATTTTATTAAACTAAGACCGTAATTCAATTCTGTCAAGGGTTATTTTGTTTTTGTTCTATGTGTATCGTGTAGATAATGTTTAGCTAATAGTTAATACTATCCTTAGTAAATATATTTATTCGTTTCCTTTTTATTTTCCAAAGAATTACGAATCATTAGTTTTACTTCCTTAATAACGTCAACAAGTTATATTATTATTATATTGACAGATGGTGTAAATTAATCACTATACAAATTTAAATGAGTTACTCTAGTGATATAATATAATCTAGGTAATTATAGGCATACGATAGCGTGCTGTTAGTGGCACATTATTACTTCACGTTGACCCACTATAATCTGATAAGATCGGGACATGATAAGGCGTGAACAAAAAACATGACATAATAATCAAGTACCCTCCAATATAGCTTCAACATGAAAGTAATATTACACTAATTACAAGGATTCTGCTACGTAACACTAGCTACGTAACTATGTAAACTATGTAAAATGTTGACTTAACCTGTACAGGATTTATCTTCAAAATATCTATCGAAATATACCACTGCTCAGTTCTCCCTCATATTTCTCGCACAGAAGGCAGGAGCCAACAGAACAGGATCCCAAAAACTAAACAACCAGGGTCGGATTCTACGAATGATGACAAAGTCAAACTGAACACATGAAACAAGAAGCCGGCAGCCAAGAGCGTAGTTCAAATATCCTAGCAAAACTTGGAAGGGTTTGTTTAAAACATATAGGTGATACAAAATGTTTATCAAGCAGGAGCTTTCGAAATACATTTGAGATCCTAGCAAGAGCCTGGATCACAATTCTGGTCAATAAAATAAAGCTGTGAGTAACAAGTAGCAACCCGATATATACTGATGAAAAGCACAGGGTGGGAAGCACAGGGTGGGAAGCACAGGGTGGGAAGCACAGGGTGGGAAGCACAGGGTGGGAAGCACAGGGTGGGAAGCACAGGGTGGGAAGCACAGGGTGGGAAGCACAGGGTGGGAAGCACAGGGTGGGAAGCACAGGGTGGGAAGCACAGGGTGGGCAGCACAGGGTGGGCAGCACAGGGTGGGCAGCACAGGGTGGGCAGCACAGGGTGGGCAGCACAGGGTGGGCAGCACAGGGTGGGCAGCACAGGGTGGGCAGCACAGGGTGGGCAGCACAGGGTGGGAAGCACAGGGTGGGAAGCACAGGGTGGGAAGCACAGGGTGGGAAGCACAGGGTGGGAAGCACAGGGTGGGAAGCACAGGGTGGGAAGCACAGGGTGGGAAGCACAGGGTGGGCAGCACAGGGTGGGCAGCACAGGGTGGGCAGCACAGGGTGGGCAGCACAGGGTGGGCAGCACAGGGTGGGCAGCACAGGGTGGGAAGCACAGGGTGGGCAGCACAGGGTGGGAAGCACAGGGTGGGAAGTACAGGGTGGGAAGCACAGGGTGGGCAGCACAGGGTGGGAAGCACAGGGTGGGAAGGGGTGGGAAGCACAGGGTGGGAAGCACAGGGGTGAGCATAAACTCATACCACTTGACTAAAGAACAAAGCTTTAGGCTACCAGGTTATTTATAAACCTGACCAATGTACATTGTACTATTGTATACCTCATCAAGTAATAATCGTGTTATAATGCCAACTTGAAGTCCTGTGAGAAATTGGAGTAGATCCAACATCAAAGAAACAATTACAGGCTGAATTACTGAATTAATACGAGCTATACAGACTAATAACCAACTGAGCAGTAACCTGATTTATAGATGGCTCGAAAAACTTATTGGTCTAACGGTGATATAACTATTTTAAGAGTGTTCAGATTTTCAAAGGAATTTTGGGTTTTACTAACTTTTTACAATTTTTAGGGCTTATGTCACTGAAGATGACGCCTTGCAACATGTTTGACGATAGCCTGTAAATTGATAGTTTTATCTCAGTATTTAGAACAAACCATCTAGCTTGATTGATTCAAATGGAGAAAAAAATCCTCTAACGGTGATATTATATATTATGTTGATATTGATAAGAGCATTTTTACTTCATACAAACTTTAACCAGATGGCCGGTTCAAGCTAAGGACAAAAAGAATTTAAAGAATTTGCATTAAAATTAATTGTTAAAAATGAGTTTATACACTGAACTCGTTCAATATGAAATTTACAACATCGGAAATATTATCAAGAACTGTTAAAGTATTAACCAGTGGTGAAGGGATTGAGCCTCAAGATACTACGGTCTATGAGAGTCTATTGTTCTTAAAGTTGACATCTGTTGCTATTAAAGGAATTTTTCAGACCATTGTTTGTCCACAGTGTAAGTTTTGAGGACAACTATTTGTGTAAGCTCTCTTTCAATTCCTCAAGTCTCCTCTTATCTGCAATTATTCAACAAGGGCAAATAAAGACAATGGCGATCGCCAGTAAATCTACAGTTTGTTAATGTTCACTCATAGTCCACACTCCATAGGTTACCTATCCATTAAAACTTTAAAATTCTCAAACAAAAATATTATACATTATAATCACGTGACTTATTGCTGACCACAAGCACATACAAACTATCATCGGATCAAGGTTTGTCACAGTGAACCGAATACAAAAAATTGTCCACCAGCAACATTTATTGTTTTAGGTAAACTAGCAGAAACCCTTACTGGGCCGCGCTCAGCCTGTCATTCCGCCAAATCTTTATTGTTTATGAACATAATCGCCTGGGGTCCCCAGGTTACAGAAACCCGTGTAACCCTAAAGTGGTGTCAAGAGACAGCAATATTTATTTACTTACCTTATCGGACCTTATTTGGACGGACATTACATGAACGGACATAATTATGAACGGACATTAATATGAACGCTTGAAGGCATTCAAAACCATCAAAAATCCGAATTTTTTCAATTTTTGACGTTTTTTAAATTTCAGCAAATGCAAATGATTTTTAAATCCATTTTTTATACAGTAAGTAAGAAAAGCAGTCATTAAGCAGTAAAAATGTTAAAATATGTGTACATGATCAGTGTCTAATATCACATATCATCTTCATCAAATGAGTTTTCGTGCATGAAATAGTCCATGCTTAAACAAGCATCAGTGATTTCTAGCTTTATGGAAACCTTTTTTATCAAACTACCCAGGTCCTGCATTTCAGTGTTAACTTTTACAAGCCATTCGGCGTGAAGTGGTTTTATCTTAGACAACTTTAGGTTAACCTTAACAGTTAACATCACGTGGAGCTTTCCTAGCACTGTTTCATTACCTCCCCTTATATTAGTAATATGAACTATAACAACGTCGGACAATGTCCTTGGCAACACGATTTACCGTAATATCTAGAGGCTGGAACAAGTTTGTAATGTTGGCGGGGACTAGCTCATGAACTATGTTGTTAAGTGCCATAATTTCGTTGACTTTTTCCGCCAAGTGACCCTTGAAAACATCATATACTAGTAGAGTTTTCTGTGCCTCCGGCAGACCAAGGAGAACCTTTCCGTCGTTAACTTACGGCCCAATAAAGTTCTCATAGTTGTCATATTTTGGACAAAAAGTTCGAAATGGAAAAATTTTGAAAAAATTTCAACGGACTTTAACTTGGACGGACCTTATTTGAACGGACATTAAGATGAACGCTAGGGCCTCCAGCGTTCAAGTAATGTCCGTCCAAATAAGGTCCGATAAGGTATTTAGTGATTTTGACACCACTTGGGGCCCAAATTGCAGGACCTAAAATTATTATTTCTGGGCCGATTTTTAATTTCTTCATACCGGTCAAAAGGTTATAAAAGCATTCGACCCTGTCAAAAAAGTTTTAATGGCGTATTTTGTATCTATCAAGTCTTTCGCGGAAAGTTTTGTTAAAGTTGATGACGTGGTGTCAGTAAAATGGCAACAGATATATATAGTCTCGCTTTATATATAGTAAGATATGATTGCAAATCCAATTTGAAATCCCTACTTGTGTCTCTACATTGAAAACTGAACTAATAGCGATATTTTGCGAAAGATATCTGCAGAGATATTTATTATTTAAGTATTTACGAGTTGGCGCAAAAGTGAAACAATCGAAATTCCACAATTACTGTAAACTGTTGACAGTTCACAGTTCAAATGCAGGTGAACAAAAAATGTTTCCACGAAGTAAGAATGAAAATTGAAGAGTTGAAGTAGATGTAAGGGTATATATTGGACATTTGCATATCTAGCCGTGATAGAGAAAACACTAAAAATAAATGAAATTGTTAACGAATATAAATTAAGCCAAATTTTTAAATGTAAAACAAAAACGTTCACACATTATTCTGGACTGTTTTCGTTATTTTTGTCCGTCTGTCCGTCTGTCCTTCTGTCCACCTGTACGTCTGTCCGTCTGTCCGTCTGTCCGTCTGTCCGTCTAACTATTTTGATATCTGTTAAGCAAATACATAATTTTACGTAAGGGATCAAATGAAAATCAAATCCTATGTTTAGCATGCTCGAATCAGCATCCAAAAAAATCGATAAATTAATAAAATTGGATTTTAGGGTAGTGGCCCTAAGTTGTAAACATACAACCACGCCAAAATTGACTGATAATCGTTAAAATCACTAAAAATTGCTATCACAAAATAATTTGTTTGTCCGAATTTATGAGCTGATCATTCCCAAAAATTCAAAAGCTAGACTAACTAAGCCGATAAAGTATATTTTTAGTAGTACTAAAGAATACTAAAGTACTAAAAGTACCCTCGAATGAAAAAGCAGCTAATACTTTGACTGATGATCCCACTTCCATCCTGGTAGCCGGTGTATTTTTTGATACTTTATGTTTTCAACAGCAAATACTGCCGCCGTTGTAAACTTTAACTGATTTGACTGCTAGTATTCTCATATCCAAAATGCGTGTTATGACGACAGTTGTCAAAAATTAAGAAAGACACAAGAAAAAATAAACGCATTATGTTTATCAAAATTACTATTATAACTATACACATTCATTAATTTAGAGTAAATTAGTAAATCTTCAGGTTTTACTAGTCACAAACATCAAGCTAGTCCATAAAAAGTTCCCAAATCCAGTATAGCATAAGCATTTATCAAACACATACTATTCTTCATATTTGTTTTCAAAACTTTAATTAAACCGCGACTATGTATTTATTTAAACCTTCAACCGATGCTTTTCATGAAAACTCCCATAAAAGGGGCAATTAAGAAATGTTCACAGAATCCTGCAAGACCACCAATCATTACCATATATTTTTCCAAATCAGCACGAAACATTACGAGTACAACTGTTAATATCACAACTAATGGTAATAATAGTATAAGCACGAATAAGATCCCTACTCCTTTTGCAGCTGTCTTTATTTCCAAAGCCTTTGTGTCCGTTTCGACAGTTGTCGCTTCAAATTCGATTGTTGGTGTTTCAATTTCAACGTCTGATGTTTCAATTTCAACATCTGATGTTTCAATTTCAACGTCTGATGTTTCAATTTCAACGTCTGATGTTTCAATTTCAACATCTGATGCTTCGATTTCAAAATCTGTTGTTTCGATTTCAAAAGCTGGTGTTTCGATTTCAAAAGCTGGTGTATCGATTTCAACATCTGGTGTTTCAATTCCAACATCTGATATTGCAATTTCAATATCTGATGTTTCGATTTCGACTTCTGGCGTCTCGATTTCAACATTTGGAGTTTCAATTCCAAGATCTGGTGTTTCGATTTTAACATTTGATGTTTTGATTACAACATCTGGTGTTTCGATTTCAAAATCTGGTGTTTCGATTTCAAAATCTGGTGTTTCGATTTCAACATTTGGTGTTTCAACCTGGTCACCTGGTGTTTCGATGTCAACATCTGATGTTTCGAATCCAACATATGATGGTTCGATTTCAAAAGCTGGTGTTTCAATTTCAACATCTGGCGTTTCGATTTCAACATCTGGTGTATCGATTTCAACATTTGGCGTTTCAACGTGGACAGCTGGTGTTTCGATGTCAACATCTGGTGTTTCGATTTCAATATTTGGTGTATCGATTTCAACATCTGGCGTTTCAACGTGGACAGCTGGTGTTTCGATGTCAACATCTGGTGTTTCGATTTCAACATCTGGTGTATCGATTTCAACATCTGGCGTTTCAATTTCAACATCTGGTGTATCGATTTCAACATCTGGCATTTCAACGTAGACAGCTGGTGTTTCGATTTCAACATCTGGCGTTTCAACGTGGACAGCTGGTGTTTCGATGTCAACATCTGGTGTTTCGATTTCAACATTTGGTATTTCAACCTGGACAGCTGGAGTTTCGATTGCAACATCTGGTGTTACGATTTCTTCATCTGGTGTTTCGATTTCAACATCTGGCGTTTCAATTTCAACATCTGGTGTATCGATTTCTACATCTGGCGTTTCAACGTGGACAGCTGGTGTTTCGATTTCAACATCAGGTGTTTCGATTTCAACATCTGGTGTTTCGATTTCAATAGCTGGACGTTTTGTGGCTTTTATCTTGAATGGACTGCCTTTGATATGTCTATTCTCCCACTTGATTTTAATCGTGTACTTTCCAGCTATTTTACGGTTAAATTTGCCGCTAACAGCCCGTTTGGCTCCCTTCCACTTAACTACACGAGAGTTTTCTTTAGGTCCCATCACCCTTACACTAAGTGTACCTTGTCCTGCATCTCTGGTGAAGACTTGGAAGTAGCCTTTATCTCCCACAAAACAGTCCACCAAGCCCGGTCCCTCTGCCCATATCGATTCAGGCGTTTCACGTTTGGGAGCAGATCGAAACAATTGTAAAAATCGAAATGAAGTCTTCCTTTTGACAGCTGTTTTTGCTGGCTCCATTTCGACGGCTGGTGTTTCGAATTTAACAGTTGGTGTTTTGATTTCTGCATTTAGTGTTTCAACCTGGTCAACTGGAATTTCGGTTTCAAGTGTCTCGACTTTGACTTTTGAAGATACGTCTTCAGGAGCTTGTACTTCATTTTCTGGTGCATCTGATGTTTCGTCTTGATACTGGACTGATGATGTTTCAAAATCCATGCTATATAGACTTGATAGTTCTATTTCATTGGATATTCTTTGCTCAGCACGTAAAAACTCTTCCTCAGAAGAAATGCTTCGGATTGAATCTCCTTTGAAACCTTCGTTTTCCCTGTTAATGTCTGTGGCTGCAGAGTCCGACATTTTCACATTTACCCCCTCGATTGCTTCAGCAGAATTCTCTTCAGTTGTCTGGAATGGTGTCCGGGAGACATCTGCCACTTCAACTGAAATATACCAGGGTTTAAACATATCAGGCGCAAATTGAAAACTAGCACAAGTACATGTATGTATCTAACAAGAATCCTAACAAGAATTATAACTCAGAGTAACCTGTTTTATATCAGTATTTACTTTATACTTATAGACCTCATACCTGTCAGGGTTTCTGGTTCATGACTCTCAAAGGTGTGGTTAAGTTCCACTGATGGCAGAGACGCCTCCAAGCTCACTTCTACTTCCATATCCGCACTCATTTCCACTGACTTGGGCTCTGAAATGGGCGATATTTCAGTTCAGAATTATTTGTGCCTATATGTTGGGTTTCATTTGTCAAGCAGAATCATACTACTGAATTTGCAGATTGAACCTGAAAGCAAATATTTGAAGCAAATATGTGAATCTATTTTACGTTCGTGTAATCCCTTGCAAATTTTTTTTAAACAAAAACCAACCGTCATCACCAGTACCGGCTTCAGAAACGTCAGTTAAAGTCATGTAGGACTTTTTACAGTTTCATTCTTCTAAGGGAAATAAAATCAAATGTGTTGAGGAATACCTAAAAGCACGTTCACTAGTTCTAACTCTATAACTCTGTATAAGTGTCAATCATAAATTGAAATTATTAAGGGGTAACGAATAGACCACCGGTCAAGGATGCGAAATGCCGAACCGGAAACAGCAGCATATCGATCATACTGTGGTTCGCCCAATTTTGCTAAATTTTCGCAGTTCATTAAAATAATTGCTCAAATGATTTTCAAGAAAATCATGTCTCAATCTGCAATAGAATTTACAACATCAAAAACATTATCAAGAAATACTAACTAAAGCTAGAAGATACGGTCTATCATGGAAGTCGATTGTTCTTAAAGTTGACAACTGTAGATATTTCAAGAATTTGACAGATCATTGTTTGTCCATTAGCTGTAAGTTTTAAGCACATCCATTTGTGTAAGAATGTTCTCCTTCAATTCCTCAAGTCTCCTCTTTGCTGCAAATAATCAACTAAGGCAATTCATGGTCCACACTCCACATAGTATCAAAACTGACCTTCTCAAACGAAGGGGGCAACAAAGCAGTGGCATTTACAGATGATATTTGCTAAGTTATCATGTAAAATCTACACATAACATTAACTCAAGCCCATTTTTTGATAAATCAACTGAAATCAATTGATCAGGTCATCAATTAATCGTAACTGTTGGGTGACGTGATCTCATCTCTGTGGGATCCAGATTAGAAGGCCGAAAGGTTTTTAATTTCCCTCTGTCCCTCTGTCCCTCTGTCCCTCTGTCCCTCTGTCCCTCTGTCCCTCTGTCCCTCTGTCCCTCTGTCCCTCTGTCCCTCTGTCCCTCTGTCCCTCTGTCCCTCTGTCCCTCTGTCCCTCTGTCCCTCTGTCCCTCTGTCCCTCTGTCCCTCTGTCCCTCTGTCCCTCTGTCCCTCTGTCCCTCTGTCCCTCTGTCCCTCTGTCCCTCTGTCCCTCTGTCCCTCTGTCCCTCTGTCCCTCTGTCCCTCTGTCCCTCTGTCCCTCTGTCCCTCTGTCCCTCTGTCCCTCTGTCCCTCTGTCCCTCTGTCCCTCTGTCCCTCTGTCCCTCTGTCCCTCTGTCCCTCTGTCCCTCTGTCCCTCTGTCCCTCTGTCCCTCTGTCCCTCTGTCCCTCTGTCCCTCTGTCCCTCTGTCCCTCTGTCCCTCTGTCCCTCTGTCCCTCTGTCCCTCTGTCCCTCTGTCCCTCTGTCCCTCTGTCCCTCTGTCCCTCTGTCCCTCTGTCCCTCTGTCCCTCTGTCCCTCTGTCCCTCTGTCCCTCTGTCCCTCTGTCCCTCTGTCCCTCTGTCCCTCTGTCCCTCTGTCCCTCTGTCCCTCTGTCCCTCTGTCCCTCTGTCCCTCTGTCCCTCTGTCCCTCTGTCCCTCTGTCCCTCTGTCCCTCTGTCCCTCTGTCCCTCTGTCCCTCTGTCCCTCTGTCCCTCTGTCCCTCTGTCCCTCTGTCCCTCTGTCCCTCTGTCCCTCTGTCCCTCTGTCCCTCTGTCCCTCTGTCCCTCTGTCCCTCTGTCCCTCTGTCCCTCTGTCCCTCTGTCCCTCTGTCCCTCTGTCCCTCTGTCCCTCTGTCCCTCTGTCCCTCTGTCCCTCTGTCCCTCTGTCCCTCTGTCCCTCTGTCCCTCTGTCCCTCTGTCCCTCTGTCCCTCTGTCCCTCTGTCCCTCTGTCCCTCTGTCCCTCTGTCCCTCTGTCCCTCTGTCCCTCTGTCCCTCTGTCCCTCTGTCCCTCTGTCCCTCTGTCCCTCTGTCCCTCTGTCCCTCTGTCCCTCTGTCCCTCTGTCCCTCTGTCCCTCTGTCCCTCTGTCCCTCTGTCCCTCTGTCCCTCTGTCCCTCTGTCCCTCTGTCCCTCTGTCCCTCTGTCCCTCTGTCCCTCTGTCCCTCTGTCCCTCTGTCCCTCTGTCCCTCTGTCCCTCTGTCCCTCTGTCCCTCTGTCCCTCTGTCCCTCTGTCCCTCTGTCCCTCTGTCCCTCTGTCCCTCTGTCCCTCTGTCCCTCTGTCCCTCTGTCCCTCTGTCCCTCTGTCCCTCTGTCCCTCTGTCCCTCTGTCCCTCTGTCCCTCTGTCCCTCTGTCCATCTGTCCATCTGTCCCTCTGTCCCTTGTCCCCCTTTGTTTGAGAAGCTCAGTTTTGATACTGTCAACGAAGCAGTGGCATTTACAGATGATATTTGCTAAGTTATCATGTAAAATCTACACATAACATTAACTCAAGCCCATTTTTTGATAAATCAACTGAAATCAATTGATCAGGTCATCAATTAATCGTAACTGTTGGGTGACGTGATCTCATCTCTGTGGGATCCAGATTAGAAGGCCGAAAGGTTTTTAATTTCCCTCTGTCCCTCTGTCCCTCTGTCCCTCTGTCCCTCTGTCCCTCTGTCCCTCTGTCCCTCTGTCCCTCTGTCCCTCTGTCCCTCTGTCCCTCTGTTCCTCTGTCCCTCTGTCCATCTGTCCCTCTGTCCCTCTTTCCCTCTGTCCCTCTGTCCCTCTGTCCCTCTGTCCCTCTGTCCCTCTGTCCCTCTGTCCCTCTGTCCCTCTGTCCCTCTGTCCCTCTGTCCCTCTGTCCCTCTGTCCCTCTGTTCCTCTGTCCATCTGTCCCTCTGTCCCTCTGTCCCTCTGTCCCTCTGTCCCTCTGTCCCTCTGTCCCTCTTTCCCTCTGTCCCTCTGTCCCTCTGTCCCTCTGTCCCTCTGTCCCTCTGTCCCTCTGTCCCTCTGTCCCTCTGTCCCTCTGTCCCTCTGTCCCTCTGTCCCTCTGTCCCTCTGTCCCTCTGTCCCTCTGTCCCTCTGTCCCTCTGTCCCTCTGTCCCTCTGTCCCTCTGTCCCTCTGTCCCTCTGTCCCTCTGTCCCTCTGTCCCTCTGTCCCTCTGTCCCTCTGTCCCTCTGTCCCTCTGTCCCTCTGTCCCTCTGTCCCTCTGTCCCTCTGTCCCTCTGTCCCTCTGTCCCTCTGTCCCTCTGTCCCTCTGTCCCTCTGTCCCTCTGTCCCTCTGTCCCTCTGTCCCTCTGTTCCTCTGTCCATCTGTCCCTCTGTCCCTCTGTCCCTCTGTCCCTCTGTCCCTCTGTCCCTCTGTCCCTCTTTCCCTCTGTCCCTCTGTCCCTCTGTCCCTCTGTCCCTCTGTCCCTTGTCCCTCTGTCCCTCTGTCCCTCTGTCCCTCTGTCCCTCTGTCCCTCTGTCCCTCTGTCCCTCTGTCCCTCCGTTTTGTCGTCCCCCTTTGTTTGAGAAGCTTAGTTTTGATACTGTCTGGAGTGTGGACCACGAATGCACATTAACCGCCATTGTTTTTACATCCCCTAGTTGATTATTTGCAGATATTAGAAGAGACTTGAGGAATTGAAGGAGAACATTCTTACACAAAGGGACAGAGGAGGGGCGAAGCAACTCTTTGACACGTAACAGTCATTAACCAATCAGCATAAACCTATAAACTATTGACTAATCAAACTTCAGAATCACAGTCACCACTTATTTTGTGAAGCTAAAGATCATATTTACTGATTGGCAAGAACTCACTGTACTCATTTTTCACTTTTCTTTGTTGAAATTTAGTGATCTAGATCGATTGGTTTTAGTAGGCACTTTTCTCTCCGTTTTTATCTATTTCTAACCAGACTGCGTTCCGTTACGACTAGACATCTGCATACGAATTAAGTATACTACACATTACAAAATAAAACCATTATGTTATTGTTAATCAATATAACTTTAAATTTTTCACTGATTACAAACATTGTGTCCACACTATATAAGTTACAAATCCGGTATAACATAGGTGATTCGAATTCAACAGCAGTTGCTTCAACTTCCAATGTTGATTTTCGACTTCAATAACTGATTTTCGATTTCAACAGCTCTAGATTTCAACATTTTTTGTTTTCATTTTAACATTTGGTGTTTCGAATTTGATCGCTGATGTTTCAATTCCAACATTTGATGTCCAAGCCATACTAATTCTCATATATTTTTAACTATCAATCTAATTAAACTTTTTAATCTATGCTATACATGTCACATTAATCATTTTTTAAATGTTCACAAAATCCTGCAATATGTTCCTTCCTCCACTGCTACTTCCTCATCTGATTCTTCCTCATCTGATTCGAGGCTAAGATCAACACTTGACGTTTCAACCGCTGGCGATTCCAATTCTATTGCTGGTGTTTCGATTTCTTCAGCTGGACGATCTGTGACTTGTACTGTGAATGGACTTCCTTTGACGTGGTTTTTACAATTTTTGCCCCATTTGATTGTGATAATGTACTTTCCGGCTACTTTTGGGTTGTATCTACAACTGACCGGCCGTTTCGTTCCCTTCCACTTATTTAATTTAGATTTGGGTTTGGGTCCCTTTACGTTCACACTTAATGAACCGAGTCCATCATCTTTGGTGAAGACTTGGAAGTCACCCAGATCACCGACAAAACAGTCCATCAAGCCCGGACCCTTTGCCCATATCGCTTCTTCTTTTTCTTCTTCATTTGTCGCTGCTTCTGCCCCAACATCAACGGTCAGGTCTTCGACTTCAACTATTAGTGTCTCGACTTTAGCCTTTGTCGTGACCTCTTCCAGAGGTTGCTCTTCATTATCTGCTACTTCTGCTGTTGTTTCATCTTCAACTCCACCATTAGGTGTGTCAGTCTCTTCCAAAGCTTGTGTTTTATTTTCTTCTACTGCTGCTGTTTCGTCTTTCACTTCACTATTAGATGTTTCATGTTCTTCAGCTGGTGTTTCAACTTTGGCGACTGGTCGAAATACTCGAAAAAATGGTGACGAAGTCTTCTTTTTGAGAGATTTTTTCTTGATAGCTGGTGGCTCGACGGTTGGTGGCTCGACTTCGACGGTTGTTGGCTCGACTTCGACGGTTGGTGTTTCGAGTTCATTATCTGAAATATATCATGTGTTTTATTCTTGAAAACAAGCACATTTTGTATAACATTTTCGCTGAATCAATATTGTAACCAGAATTATATTTCAGAGGTACCTCTTTTATCATTATATACTTTATCTCGTACCTGCCGGGGTTTGATCAAGATCCAGCGATGGCATCACGATGACTTCTTCAACTTCAGACTCAGACTCTGAAATGGACGATATTTAGGATAATAAGTTTTTTGTGTCCTAAATAAAATGTTTGGCTTAGATTTTCAAGCAGAATTATACAAGTAGTCAACATATAACTGGGGAGGGAATGAATAAAATGTAATTCTACGAATCTGTTACAGTGTAACAGAGATGAGAGATCGTAATATGTTACAATCGTCATGGAATTAAATAATGACACTTGACAATCCACCTCGAGTCACTGACATCTCATCAGCACCATTGAAACTCCACTCAACATAAAGGAAGAGCTTCCAAAGGCTACGAGGGTGTTAATAGTGCCGTTGATAGTGTACACAGAGTTCTGTTTATGGAGTTATTTAAAGCATTGGCATTATGGTTACGCTCACAAAAGGTATATGCTGATGCACTGGAATGATCATCCTGGTTGGAGTCCTACAAGGAAACACTTTGGCCCCTTCCTTGCTCATCATTGTCATTGACTACAGTTTTACTTTGGCTATAGCCGTGAACGACTCTGACGTTGACTCTGAATAGCCAGCAGAAAAGATAAGTTTTGCCAATAGTACTGAAAACCATTTGGAAACCGTGACAGTCTTCTTTTACCTTGGAGCCTGGATAACAGCAACTGAGAGGGACATGCGTTTAACATTACCTTATATGGTAATGTCACCATAGTAACAAGACCTCATATGATATTAAGTGTCAGGAAAGCAAAAGCTTGAACAGCTCAGGAGGAAATTCAGAATTCCTTGTATCGTCACTACTACATACTGTTGTATAGCTTTAAAACCTGACACGCTGACTGAGTCATTATAAAAGAGCACATAGAGCTGGTAGAATGGTAAGAGCACATAGAGCTGGTAGAATGGTAAGAGCACATAGAGCTGGTAGAATGGTAAGAGCACATAGAGCTGGTAGAATGGTAAGAGCACATAGAGCTGGTAGAATGGTAAGAGCACATAGAGCTGGTAGAATGGTAAGAGCACATAGAGCTGGTAGAATGGTAAGAGCACATAGAGCTGGTAGAATGGTAAGAGCACATAGAGCTGGTAGAATGGTAAGGGCACATAGAGCTGGTAGAATGGTAAGAGCACATAGAGCTGGTAGAATGGTTAGAGCACATAGAGCTGGTAGAATGGTAAGAGCACATAGAGCTGGTAGAATGGTAAGGATACAATAAACATGGACTGGAAGTTCCACCGGTACAACAAAGAATGTTGTGAACTGGAAGTACCACTGATCCAACAAAGAATTTTGCAATCAATTGGAAAGGGAATCCATGAAGGAAGATGCGATTAGCAGTCACAGCTAGTTGTAAACCGCTTATTGCTTTGGTCGAGCTGAATCATGGCGTGAACTTGAAGAGTCCAAAAGAGACCCATAACTGATGTAGATTCTACATTGTAGACACAGTTTAGACTTTTAACCGTAAAATTTTAACCATCAGATACTGAGTAGTAAGATCTTCTTTTTTGTAGAATACTCAGAATAAAGCGAACGTTTTAACAAAATAAATATGTGAAATTATTTTAAGTGGGGTTATTATTTCTTTGAAGAAAAAACGAACCGTCATCATCAGTACCGGATTCAGAGACGTCCTCTACCACCGCCGACGTATAATAACTGTACGTTTGCCCCATTTGTGACTTTTTATAATTCCATTCTTCTGAGTGAAATAAAATCAAACATTTTACAAGAGTACCAAGAAGAACCTAGATTAGTTTTATTTCTATGAGTATAAGTCTCAATCACAAAGTATAGTGAAAAATAGTTATGGGAGAGCCAGGAGCCAATAAAACAGGCGATAATATGTTCTTTTTCGCTGAAATCGTCCCACATAAAGTTTACAACATCGAAAAAATTATCAAGAAATGCTAACTAGCGTTAAAAGGAGTAAACTTCCATAGGGTACGGCTTATGAAAGTCTATTGTTCTTAAAGTTGACAACTAGTGTAGGTATTTCAAGAATTTGACTGATCATTGTTTGTCCACAGTGTAAGTTTTGAGGACAACTATTTGTGTAAGCCTGTTCTCTTTCAATTCCTCAAGTCTCCTCTTATCTGCAATTATTCAACAAGAGCAGCAGAACAATGACGGTTGCTAGTAAATCTACAGCTGTTCAGAGTTCACTCATAGGTCAGGGAGTATCGATTTAGCTTTTCAAACAAAGAAGGAAAGCGAAGCTATTACATTTTGAAACTATGACTATTGTATGAATATCTCATTACATCGATAAAGGAATTAGGGATTGAAGGGCATACGACGCTGTACTCGTATTGCAACTTCCATGTCACAGTTCACCACATGCCAATTGAAATACACATTCCATTCATGTGTGGTTTCATGTCCTTCAGCTGGCATTTCAACTTCTGCGACTGGTCATGGTCGAAATAATTGAAAAAATGGGGACAAAGTCTTCTTTTTGAAAGGTTTTTTCATGGTTTCGGAAGCTGGTGGCTCGAATTCGACGGTTGGTGTTTCAAGGTCAACATCTGAAATATATCATGTGTTCATATCATATTAGGCACAAATTGAAAACAAGCACATTTTGTATAACATTCTCTAATCATTATTTACTCTATCATTATTTACTTTCTCATTATTGACTTTTTCATTATTTACATTTCATTATTTACTTTATAATCATTATTTACTTTATTAGTGTAACCCGTGCCTACGGCCGGAACTTCATTATCGCAGTTGAATTGCAAAAGTATTATAAACGATGCAAAAGTTTAAACGGCGCAAAAGCATGAACTCGCCCAATCGAAACGGCCGCATTATACTATTATAGTCAATTTAATTCTGAGCGCCCAACACGTATCCAATAGTAATGCTTAATAACCAATCGACTTGCGGCTCCTGTCTCTACTGCCACAAAATGATCAATTAAACACTTACCATCGACCGATTTAAAATACCTAGATGGACCTCATACCTGCCGGGGTTTCTGGTTCATGATTCTTAAAGGCGTGGTTAAGGTTTGGGGATAACGGAGACTCCTCTATTTTCGCCTTTTCTACGCGACGAAATCCTCGCTCATGTCTATTGACTCAGGCTTTGGAATAAACAATTTGTGGATAAGTTGTTTGAGCCCTAAAATTGTTGGCTTTAATTGTTAAGCAGAATTAGACTAGTACGTAGTGTCCATAGGACTGAGGAGGAAATGAATGATATAGTGATTTATGAATTACACAGTGTTCCACAGGTCGAAATAGGTTGGAATCGCGATGGAATTGCTCTGCTGCAGATGGGTTCAAGAATGTGGCTTGACGAGGTCAGTTGTGAAGGGTTCTGGCTGGTGAAAGTTTTTGTGTGGAATGGAACCGGGTTGTTAACTGAGTCGAGATTATTTTAAGTAGCAGCGCCGATAGAAAAACCAGCCTTATTTATCCACGAACTGTCACCATCAGTTTCGATGGTTTATAACTTTTTACAGTTGTATTCTTGTAAGAAAAATTAAATAGATTATTTTGTAAGAGTACCAAGGAGTACGCACATCGCATGTCTAATTTTATTAGACATGATGTGTCAATCACAAAGTGAAACGATTAAGGGGCAGTTAGAAACCAACCGATCTGCGGTAATATTATAAGCTATTAGAATATTGATTGTACAATGTATAACAGCTGGTAATATTAGCTATTAGAATATTTATTGTACAATGTATAACAGCTGGTATAGTGACTTTCGAATTTTCGTAGCTCATAAAAAAAATGCTTTGAGTGTTTTTTTCAAGAAAATGATGTTTTACTCAGCAATCGTCCCATATAAATTTTACAACATCGAAAAAATTATCAAAGTATCAAGAAATTTTAACTGTTGATGAGGGGACTGATCCTCAAGAGCATAGTTGGTCAGTACGCACTGTACGAACTTTTAAAAGGTGCCGAACTGTACGAATTTTAAAAAGCTGTCAAGGAATTTTTACCGAATTTTAATAAAAAATTATAAAAAAAAGTATAAGAAAAATTGATTTGCCATTAATATTTTTTATTTCTGACACATACCAATTAAAAAATGTAACTTTCGCCATTTATTTAAAAAAATATTGATAACATTTCACATATATTCACAAAATTTACAATATCGTGCAATTGACCCAGGATTAAAATCTCAAACCATAAACTACTACAACTAATAAAAGTAGTAGTGATAGTAGCGTGAAAAAATTCCCTATTCTCTCTATTTCCAAAGCCATTCTGTCTTCTTCGACATGTGATGTTTTTAATTCAATTGCTGATGTTTCGTTATCAACATTTTCAACATTCAACATTTCAACATTCGATGCTTTCATTTCATCAGCTGGTGTTGTTACTTGATCAACTAATTTGACAGTTGATGCTTCCAGTTCTACTCCGGCAGTTATTGTTTCCACTTCAACAACTGGTTCGTCAGCTACAATTTCAACTTTGGTGGTAGGTCGGAACAATCGTAAAAATCGCGACGAAGTTTTTCTTTTAACAACTGTTGTTTTGATTTCGGAAGCTGGTGACTCCAATTCGACGGCTGGTGTTTCAAGTTCAACATCTGGAGTATCAATTTGGACAGGTGTTTCATGTTCGTTAGCTACAATTTCAACTGTTGCGGCAGGTCGATAAAATTTTAAAAATCTCGACAAATCCTTTCTTTTGTCAGGTGTATTGTTGATTTCAGGAGCTGAAGGCTCCACTTCGACGGCAGGTTCATTGAGTTCTACAACCGGTTTCTCGGTTTCGAAATTTGGCGTTTTAACCTGATCCACTGAAATTTCTTTAGCAGATGTTTCTATTTGGACTGGTGCTTCAGAGTCAACAGTTGGTGATTCAAATTCAACTGCTGTTGCTTTAATTTCAGCAGCAGATGTTTCATCTTCGTCAGCTAAAATTTCAATTTTGGCAGCTGGTCGAAACAATCGTAAAATTCGTGCAAATGATTTTCTTTTGGCAGCTGTTGATTTGATTTCGGGAGTTGAAGGTTCCACTTCGACAGCCGGTGTTTTCAGTTCAACATCTGGAATTCCGATTTCGATGGCTGGCGTTTCAACCTGGTCAGCTGGTCCTTCGATTTGAAATGGTTTCTCATGTTCATTAGCTGGCATTTCAACCTTGGCGGCTGGTCGAAACAACTTTAAGAATCGTGCAGAAGTCTTTTGTTTGAAGGCTGTTGTTCTGATTTCAGGAGCTGGTGACTCCACTTTTACGGCTGGTGTTTCAAGTTCAACAGCTGGTGCTTTGATTTCAACAGCTGGCATTTCCAATTCGACAATTGGTGCTTTGATTTCAACAGCTGCCATTTCCAATTCGACAGCTGGTGCTTTGAGTTCAACAGCTGGCATTTCCAATTCGACAGCTGGTGCTTTGATTTCAACTGCAGCTGGTGTTTCCAATTCGACAGCTGGTGCTTTGAGTTCAACAGCTGGCATTTCCAATTCGACAGCTGGTGCTTTGATTTTAACTGCAGCTGGTGTTTCCAATTCGACAGCTGGTGCTTTGATTTCAACAGCTGGCATTTCCAATTCGACAGCTGGTGCTTTGAGTTCAACAGCTGACATTTCCAATTCGACAGCTGGTGTTTTGATTTCAACAGCTGGTGTATCCAATTCGACAGCTGGTGCTTTGATTTCAACAGCTGGCATTTCCAATTCGACAGCTGGTGCTTTGATTTCAACAGCTAGTGTTTCCAATTCGACAGCTGGTGCTTTGATTTCAACAGCTGGTGCTTCCAATTCGATGGCTGGCTTTTCGAATTCAACAATTATTGGTGTTTTTATTTCGTTAGGTGGTCTTTTAACTTCCACAGCTAATTTTTCAATTTCGATAGCTTTTGTTTCTACCTGTTCAACTGCAATTTCGATTTCAACAGCTGGTGCCATTATTTGGACAGTTGGTTCTTCGATTCCTACAGAAAGAGTTTTTGTATCGACAGCTGGTGACTCGCTTTCCACAGCTGGTGTCTTGATTTCGCTGACTGGTGATTCTAATTTGACAGTCGGTGCCTCAATTTTAACTGTTGAGGATTTCACTTCCACAGCTATTGTTTCCACTTCGATAAGTGGTCTTTCGAATTCGATAGTTGGTTTATTGAATTCGATCGGTGGAGTTTTGATTTCAACTGCTGGTGTTTCCAATTCGACTGCCGGTGGTTTGATTTCATCAACTGATGTGTTTATTTCCACAGCTAAAGTTTCGATTACTGATGGCTGATTTTCAAATTCGATTGCTTGTGTTTCGACCTCAAAATTTGGAAGTTTGACGTCTACTATTTGCATTTCAACTTGGTCTGCTAGTGATTTGATTTCAACAGCTTGTGTTTCTTTTTCTAGAACCGGCGTCTCTAAAAGCTTGTTGAATTCAAAATCTTGAGTTTCGATTTCAACAACCAGAGTTTCGATTTTGGCTAATGGTGCCTCTATTTCAACAGCTGGATCGTTTGCTTCAATAACCGATTTTTCGAATTCGACAGCTAGAGCTGTAATTTCCATAGTTAGTGTTTCCAATTCAACAGCTCGTGCTTCGATTTCGACAGAAATAGTTTCGATTTGAACAGTTGAAGTTTCCACTTGGATGGGTGATGTTTCCAATCCGTTAGCTGCAGGTATTTCAATTCCGACTGCTCTTGTTTCAATTCCAAATGCTGGTGTTTCCAATCCGTTAGCTGCAGGTATTTCAATTCCGACTGCTCTTGTTTCAATTTCAAATGCTGGTGTTTCCAATCCGTTAGCTACAGGTATTTCAATTCCGACTGCTCTTGTTTCAATTTCAAATGCTGGTGTTTCCAATCCGTTAGCTGCAGGTATTTCAATTCCGACTGCGCTTGTTTCAATTTCAAATGCTGGTGTTTCCAATCCGTTAGCTGCAGGTGTTTCAATTCCGACTGCTCTTGTTTCAATTTCAAATGCTGGTATTTCCAATCCGTTAGCTGCTGGTGTTTCCAATTCGTTAGCTGCAATTCCGATTGCTCTTGTTTCAATTCCGATTGCTGGTGTTTTCTTTTTGTCTAATATCAGTTCTTTAAAAGCAACTTGAAAAACCGACCTCACTTGGTCCAGAAACCCTTCATCAGCTAGTTCTTCCAATTCGACATCTGGGGATTCAATTTCGACTGCTGGTGTTTCTTTTTCAATCGACTTCAGCTCTTCAAAAGCATCTTGAAAAAAATTCCTCGCCTGTTGTAAAAAGTCATTAGCTGACGATTTGTTTTCAACTTCACATGCTGCAGGTGCTCCATCTAGCATAATTTCATCAACTTCAACTTTTAGGGTCTCAACTTTATCATTCATAATCGTTTGCTGGCATTTAAAATTCGGACGAAGTCGTTTTTTGACTTTAGCTGCTTTGAGTCGTACCATAAAGACATCTGCTGCTTCAGCTGAAATGTTTTATGTGCTAAAATCATATTTTGCATTAATTGGAAGCAAATTCTGGCCTGCACATTTATTATGTAATTAATTTCTTAATTAGAATTCTAACAAGAATTCTAACTCTTTTAAATCAGTATTTACTTTATAGACCTTATCTCATACCTGTCAGGGTTTGTCGTTCCTCAGTGACGTCTGGCGATGTCAGAGACGCCTCCATACTCATATCCCAACTCATTTCTGCTGAATCAGCTTCGATGGCTGCTATAGCGGCTTCGATTTCTGCTATATTGGCTTCAATTGCGAGTTTTTCATCATCAAGTGCTGCTGTTTTAGCATCCATGATCGTCAGCTGGTTTTTCAGTTTTAGGGACTGGCCGTAAAACTCGTGAAAAAGCAAGGTTCTAGCTGTTTTGTGTCGTTTCATAAAGACATCTGCATATTCAGCTGAGATGTAATGATGTGTTCATATCAAATCAGGAACAAATTGAAAACGAGCACATTTTTCTGGCCGAACTCTTATTCAATCTATATTTTAATAAGAATCTTAAAAAGAATCATAATGCAGAGGTATCAATCACAAAGTTAAAAGATTAAGATTGTACTACATCGAAAACATTATCAAGAAATTCTAACTGAAGATGAGGAGATTGATCTTCTGTTGGTATTTCAGGAATTTGTAAGATCATTGTTCTCCATTAACTTGCGTGGACTAAGTTTTGAGCACATACATTTGTGTAAAACAACCCTTCTTGATCAATACCTCAAGTCTCCTATTATCTTATTATCTGGAATCATTCAACAAGTACAAGGGCATGTAGAAACAATATTGGTTGTCAATACATCTACAGTTTGTTGATGTTCACTCACGGTTCACATTCCACAGATTGTCAATTTAGATGTACAATGGGGGGGGGGGGGGGGACAATGTCATTACATTATGCAGCTTTGCCAGCAGTGACATCTGCACATATTATGTAAAGAATTATCGTGTGAACTGTGAACTTTATTCTAGCTTTTAGCCTATTTGTATCTCATTCAATTGAAATCCATGGGTCACGTTATCAATTAATCGTCTCTCATTGGGAGAGGAGATCAAAGTAGTCATCACAGCTTTATTCTTTTATTGTTGTCTTTGGGGTATCCACTCTACCTTGGGTCCGGACTCTACCTTGGGTCCGGACTCTATCCGGGGTCCGGACTGTACCTGGGGTCCGGACTCTACGGCGTGAGACTCTACTTGGTGTCCGAACTCTACGGCCGCGCCGTACAAACCAGGACTCTACGGCGTGGGGTGTCTCACGCCCTAGAGTCTCACACCCTAGAGTCCTGGTCCCATTAAGGTTACCTTAATACCTGAATAAGAAAGCTAAGACCACCTAATGGGCCAACATTGCATCTCTCTGGTGCAAGGATTGAGCTTAAAAATACATTTTTTACACTCTCAGCCCACTAAGAACGTTTCATTTTGTTTTTACTTATTGCAGCCTCAAAATTAAATTGCAATTTTTTTTTCAGAGTGGGCTTGAGTGTTAAAACTCGATTTACAGACTGCTTGGATATCGGGGATCAAATGAAAACAAACGGAATCGTTTCAAGTGGATAATCGTTTTAAAAAACGACGACATTTTTTGAAGTGATTATTTGGAGAACAAGTTGACATTTTACCACCACAACTGCAGTGTCAATAGCAGGGGGTGCAGGGTGCAGGGTGCAGGGTGCAGGGTGCAGGGTGCAGGGTGCAGGGTGCAGGGTGCAGGGTGCAGGGTGCAGGGTGCAGGGTGCAGGGTGCAGGGTGCAGGGTGCAGGGTGCAGGGTGCAGGGTGCAGGGTGCAGGGTGCAGGGTGCAGGGTGCAGGGTGCAGGGTGCAGGGTGCAGGGTGCAGGGTGCAGGGTGCAGGGTGCAGGGTGCAGGGTGCAGGGTGCAGGGTGCAGGGTGCAGGGTGCAGGGTGCAGGGTGCAGGGTGCAGGGTGCAGGGTGCAGGGTGCAGGGTGCAGGGTGCAGGGTGCAGGGTGCAGGGTGCAGGGTGCAGGGTGCAGGGTGCAGGGTGCAGGGTGCAGGGTGCAGGGTGCAGGGTGCAGGGTGCAGGGTGCAGGGTGCAGGGTGCAGGGTGCAGGGTGCAGGGTGCAGGGTGCAGGGTGCAGGGTGCAGGGTGCAGGGTGCAGGGTGCAGGGTGCAGGGTGCAGGGTGCAGGGTGCAGGGTGCAGGGTGCAGGGTGCAGGGTGCAGGGTGCAGGGTGCAGGGTGCAGGGTGCAGGGTGCAGGGTGCAGGGTGCAGGGTGCAGGGTGCAGGGTGCAGGGTGCAGGGTGCAGGGTGCAGGGTGCAGGGTGCAGGGTGCAGGGTGCAGGGTGCAGGGTGCAGGGTGCAGGGTGCAGGGTGCAGGGTGCAGGGTGCAGGGTGCAGGGTGCAGCCGTACTCTATTATTAATTTGTCGTCCATATTGCCCCTGACTGACGCTAACTGTTTTCATATGGTTAATTAGCAGCAATAATTAAGTAAAATGTACCTAATGATAACTGAGCTTGGCAGGGGTGAGTGATAAAACTCAATGTTATCACCATCTGAAAATTAAATTGCAACTTTTGAGCGTTTCAAATTAGAGACTAAGATTGACTGTTTAAACTTAATTTATGGCCTGTTGGGACTTGGGGTATCTGAAACAAAGTTAGTTGAACTGATATCTTGTAGTAGAGAAAAGTTATCGTAAGATCAATTAGTGATTGAAATTTCTCCTAGTATAGTAGTATGCCTCTATACATTTTTATTTTTCAAATGGATCATCGATTGGAATTCATGAAGAGGAGACAATGAGGAAACGTATTATTAAATCATTATGACATGATCATTGATCATAATTCATAGTATAATTCATAGTTGTTTTTACTATCTACATTTCAAGGTGGTAACGTGTAACTGGAAATAAATGAAATGATAAAATTGCAAATAAAGGAGTGGAAAGTCAAAATTTAAACATAAATTCAAGAGTTCAGATGTTTACTAATTTATAAAGTACTTATTTTTACTGAGTTACGTGCTCTACAACTAGCTAACTAGCTGAGCTAAAACTATTTTATTACACCGAATAAGAATTATAAAGTGCTGTTGTGGGTCTATAATACTCTATCTAAAAGTAAAGAACGCGATTAACAACTCGCCGAATGAAGCCGGAAGAAGACCCTGATCCTAAGCTTCAGAGGATTAACAACTCTCCGAATGAAGCCGGAAGAAGACCCTGATCCTATATTTCAGAGTTAACAACTCTCCGAATGAAGCCGGAAGAAGACCCTGATCCTAAACTTCAGATTAACAACTCTCCGAATGAAGCCGGAAGAAGACCCTGATCCTATATTTCAGAGTTAATTGCAGGGTGCAGGGTGCAGGGTGCAGGGTGCAGGGTGCAGGGTGCAGGGTGCAGGGTGCAGGGTGCAGCCGTACTCTATTATTAATTTGTCGTCCATATTGCCCCTGACTGACGCTAACTGTTTTCATATGGTTAATTAGCAGCAATAATTAAGTAAAATGTACCTAATGATAACTGAGCTTGGCAGGGGGTGAGTGATAAAACTCAATGTTATCACCATCTGAAAATTAAATTGCAACTTTTGAGCGTTTCAAATTAGAGACTAAGATTGACTGTTTAAACTTAATTTATCGCCTGTTGGGACTTGGGGTATCTGAAACAAAGTTAGTTGAACTGATATCTTGTAGTAGAGAAAAGTTATCGTAAGATCAATTAGTGATTGAAATTTCTCCTAGTATAGTAGTATGCCTCTATACATTTTTATTTTTCAAATGGATCATCGATTGGAATTCATGAAGAGGAGACAATGAGGAAACGTATTATTAAATCATTATGACATGATCATTGATCATAATTCATAGTATAATTCATAGTTTTTTTTACTATCTACATTTCAAGTTGGTAACGTGTAACTGGAAATAAATGAAATGATAAAATTGCAAATAAAGGAGTGGAAAGTCAAAATTTAAACATAAATTCAAGAGTTCAGATGTTTACTAATTTATAAAGTACTTATTTTTACTGAGTTACGTGCACTACAACTAGCTAACTAGCTGAGCTAAAACAATTTTATTACAGCGAATAAGAATTATAAAGTGCTGTTGTGGGTCTATAATACTCTATCTAAAAGTATAGAACGCAATTAACAACTCGCCGAATGAAGCCGGAAGAAGACCCTGATCCTAAACTTCAGAGGAGGGTGGTGTTTTGAATTCAGGATTTTGATTTGGTGTTTCTAATTGGACAGTCGATGCTTTAATTTCAACAGTTGGTGATTCATATTCATCGGATGGCATTTCGTTTCCAATTGCCGAACGTTTTCTAACTTTGATTGTGAATGGACTGCCATTGATATGCTTGTTGTCCCACTTGATTTTTATTATGTACTTCCCAGGTACTTTTGGGTTGTGTTTACAAGTAACATTATCTTTTACTCCCTTCCACTTTCTTAGTCGAGGTATGGCTAAGGGTTTCTTCAATTGCACACTTAGTGTACCTTGTCCGGCATCTCCGGTGAAGATTTGAAAGTAACCCTGATCACCGACAAAGCAGTCCATCAAGCCCGGACCCTCTGCCCATATTGTTCCCAGCGTTTCGATTTCAACAGCTGGCCACTGTTTTTCGATTTCCACAGCTGGCGTCTCAACTTCGACAACCGGAGCTTTAGTTTTGGCAATTGGTGCTTTCAAAACAATAACTGTACCTTTGATTTCACCAGCCGGCCTTTCGATTTCCACAGCTGGTAATTCGATTCCTATAGCTGATGTTTCAAATTCGACAGCTTGTTCTTTTATTTCGACAGCTGGTGCTTCAACTTCCACAACTGGAAATTCGATTTCCATAGCTGGCGTTTCAAATTCGACAGCTGGTTCTTCTATTTCGATATCTGGTGCTTCAACTTCCCCAGCTGGTAATTCAATTCCTATGGCTATAGCTGATGTTTCAAATTCGACAGCTGGTTCTTCTATTTCGACAGCTGGTGCTTCAACTTTCACAGGTGGTAATTCGATTTCCATAGCTGGCGTTTCAAATTCGACAGCTGGTTCATCTATTTCGATATCTGGTGCTTCAACTTCCACAGCTGGTAATTCGATTTTCATAGCTGGCGTTTCAAATTCGACAGCTGGTTCTTCTATTTCGATATCTGGTGCTTCAATTTCCCCAGCTGGTAATTCGATTCTTATAGTTGATGTTTCAAATTCGACAGCTGGTTCTTCTATTTCGACAGCTGGTGCTTCAACTTCCACAGCTGGTAATTTGATTCCTATAGCTGATGTTTCAAATTCGACAGCTGGTTCTTCTATTTCGATATCTGTTGCTTCAACTTTCACAGGTGGAAATTCGATTTCCATAGCTGGCGTTTCAAATTCGACAGCTGGTTTTTCTATTTCGATATCTGGTGCTTCAGCTTCCACAGCTGGTAATTTGATTCCTATAGCTGATGTTTCAAATTCGACAGCTGATTCTTCTATTTCGACAGCTGGTACTTTAACTTCCACAGCTGGTAATTCGATTCCTATAGCTGATTTTTCAAATTCGACAGCTGGCTCTTCAATTCCGACAGCTGGTGCTTCAACTTCCACAGCTGGAAATTCGATTTCCATTGCTGGCGTTACAAAATCGACAGCTGGTTCATCTATTTCGATATCTGTTGCTTCAACTTCCACAGCTGGTAATTCGATTCCTATAGCTGGTGTTTCAAATTCGACAACTGGTTCTTCTATTTCGACAGCTGGTGCTTCAGCTTCCACAGCTGGAAATTCGATTCCTATAGCTGGTGTTTCAAATTCGACAACTGGTTCTTCTATTTCGACAGCTGGTGTTTCAATTTCCCCAGCTGGATTCGATTGTTATAGTTGGTGTTCCCAATTTTACTGCAGGTGTTTCTATTCCGATAACTGGTCTTTCAAATTCGCCCGCTAATGTTTCCATGTATTGTCATATCGCTCTACTCTTGAATGAGAAGAAATATATTAGGAACTTTATCACAAAATCATTTAGCGATTATAGGTTGAAATTTCTCGCAATATGTATTTCTAAAATTATTCTCAAATGGATCATCGATTTGGATTCATAACATGGAAAAAATAAACACACGTATTATTAAATCATTATAACATCTACCCAATATAAGTTTATACTAAAAGGTTATTATCAATTCATTCAAATTTTTGACCATCTACATTAAAAGTGCAGTTAAAATTAAGAAATAGTTCAGGAGCTGATCACGTGAAATTGGAAATAGAGGAGTTAATAGTCTAATTAATTTAAATATCAAATCGAAAGTTAAGACGTGATCACCAATTTATAAATTTACAATGTGCTTATCATTAGAGAGTAACAGGCACTTAAACTATTTGTCCTTTGACTATTGCGATTGCCGAATCTTAACTATGATATTACAGAGAATAAGAATTTCCATCAGAAATATTCATCAGAAACATCACAATAATGCGACTAATAAACAGTTTTCGTGTCCGGATATAACATCTAAAAGTAAAACCAGCGGGTCATCACTTGCCGAATGAAGCCGAAAAAGGACCCCGATCCCTCTTCCGCAGCTGGTGTCCCTACTTCCGAAGAAGGTGGTGTTTCGAATTCAGGATCTTCAGGTTCAGTAGCTGGTGTTTCCGATTCAAAAGTCGGTGCTTCAACTTCAACAGCTGATCTTTCCATAACTGATGTTTCCAATTCGATAGTCGGTGCCTTGATTTCAACAGTTGGTGATTCGAATTCAATTGCTGGTACTTCGGATTTTATCAGCTGGTGTTTCGATTTCGATTACTTGACGGTTTCTAACTTGTATCTTGAATGGACTGCCCTTGATATGCTCGTTCTCCCACTTGATTTTTATAATGTACTTCCCAGCTACTTGTGGTTTGTGTCTACAATCAATAGTCTCTTTCGCTCCCTTCCACTTACCTTTACGTGGTTTGCCTTTGGGTCCCTTCACTCGCATGGTTAGTGTACCGTTTCCAGCAGCTCTGTTAAAGACTTTGAAATGACCCTCGTCGCCCACAAAACAATCCATCAAGCCTGGACCATCTGCCCATATCGCGTCCGGCTTTTCACTTTGAACGTATGCAGTTGGTGACTTGACTTCGAATGCTCGACAGCTCTTTCTTCAATTTTTTCTGCTTCCGCTCCAACATCAAAAAACACGTCTTCGACTTTGACTTTTGCAGTAGTGGTGTCTTCCATTGCTTGCATTGAAATCGCTGCTGCTGCTGCCGTTTCATTTTTCATTCCAACATCGGCTGGAATTAGGATTTCTGCATCAATTTGGACAGCTGGTGCTTCAACTTTAACACTATTAACAGTTGGCGATTCGAGTTTCATTTCTGAAACTTCCACTTCAACAGCTGGTGCTTTATTCCCGTTTAATTGACATTTCTTGACTTTTATCTTGAATGGACTGCCCTTGATATGCTCGTCCTCCCACTTGATTTTTATAATATACTTTCCAGCTACTTTTGGGTTATATTTACAGTTAACGGGCCCTTTCGCTCCGTACGACGTAGTTACTCGAGATTTGCCTTTGGGTCCGTTCACTCGCACAGTAAGTTTATCATGCTCATTATCTTTGGTGAAGACTTGGAAGTCGCCCTGATCACCCATAAAACAGTCCACCAAGCCCGGACCCTCTGCCCATATCGCTTCCGACGTTTCACTTTCAACGTTTGCAGTTGATGACTTGAATTCAAATGCTTTCAACATTTGACGTTTCAACTTGGTCACCTGGGATTTCTTTGTTGATTTGACTTTAACTCCTACTTCAGAGCCAGCCGGCGTTTCGATTTCAACTACTGGTGCCTCTATTTCGACGGCTCGTTCGATTTTAACAGAAAGAATTTTGGTGTGAACTGCCGGTGATTCCAACTCAATAGCCGATGTTTCAACCTGGTGAACTGGAATTTCGATTTCCACAGCTGGTGTTTCCAATGACGGTTCTTCAAGTTCGTGATCCGGTGTTTCAATTACCACAGCTTGTTTTTCGATTTCCATAGTTGGTGTTTCAAATTCGACAGCAGGTGCTTCGATTTCGACATCCAGTGTTTCAACTTCCACAGCTGGTATTACTAATTCGACAACTGGAGCCTTGATCTCGACAATTGGTGCTTTCACATCAATATCTGTACTTTCGATTTCGACATCTAGCCTTTCGCATTTGATGGTTGGTGCTTCGATTTCGACATCTGGTGCTTTAGCTTCCACTGCTTTCCTTTCAAATTCAACAACCGGTTCTTCTACTTGGATATCTGGCGTTTTAAATTCTACGACCGGTTCCTTTATTTCGACATCCGGTGTTTCTAATTCGATAGCAGGTGCTTCGATTTCGACAGATGGTGCCACTTCCACAGCTTGCCTTTCAAATTCTAGCGTTTCAACTTCCACAGCTGGTATTTCGATTTTTACAGTTGGTGTTTCCAATTCAACAACCGGAGCATCGATTTCGACAATTGGTGCTTTCACATCAATATCTGTACTTTCAATTTCGACATCTAGCCTTTCGCATTTGATAGTTGGTGCTTCGATTTCGACATCCGGTGCTTCAACTTCCACTGCTTGCCTTTCAAATTCAACAACCGGTTCTTCTACTTGGATATCTGGCATTTTAAATTCGACAAGCGGTTCCTTTATTTCGACATCCGGTTTTTCTAATTCGACAGCAGGTGCTTCGATTTCGACATCCAGTGCTTTTAGTTCCACAGCTTGCCTTTCAAATTCGAAAAATGGCTCTCTTATTGCGACATCCGGTGTTTCAACTTCCGCAGCTGGTATTTCAAATTCGACAGCCGGTTCTTCAAGTTCGTGATCCGGTGTTTCAATTACCACAGCTTGTTTTTCGATTTCCATAGTTGGTGTTTCAAATTGTGTCTCTATTTGTGCCTCTATTTCGACATCTGGTGCTTCAACTTCCACTGCTCGCCTTTCAAATTCGACAACCGGTTCTTCTACTTGAATATCTGGCATTTTAAATTCGACAACCGGTTCCTTTATTTCGACATTTGGTGTTTCTAATTCGACAGCAGGCGCTTCGATTTCGACATCCAGTGCTTTTAGTTCCACAGCTTGCCTTTCAAATTCGAAAAATGGCTCTCTTATTGCGACATCCGGTGTTTCAACTTCCACAGCTGGTATTTCAAATTCGACAGCCGGTTCTTCAAGTTCGTGATCCGGTGTTTCAATTACCACAGCTTGTTTTTCGATTTCCATAGTTGGTGTTTCAAATTGTGTCTCTATTTGTGCCTCTATTTCGACACCCGGTGCTTCAACTTCCACTGCTTGCCTTTCAAATTCGACAACCGGTTCTTCTACTTGAATATCTGGCATTTTAAATTCGACAACCGGTTCCTTTATTTCGACATTCGGTGTTTCTAATTCGACAGCAGGCGCTTCGATTTCGACATCCAGTGCTTCTAGTTCCACAGCTTGCCTTTCAAATTCGACAACTGGCTCTCTTATTGCGACATTCACTGTTTCAACTTCCACAGCTGGTATTTCAAATTCGATAGCCGGTTCTTTTATTTCGATATCCGGTGTTCCAAATTCAACAACAGGGCTTTCCAATTCGACAACCGGTTCTTCTATTGCGACATCTGGCGTTTCAAATTCAACAACTGGTCCTTCCATTTCGATATCCGGTGTACTAAGTTCCACACTTTGTCTTTCAAACTTGACAGTCAGTTCTTCTATCTCGACACCCAGTGTGTCAATTTTCACAGCTGGTTTTTCCATTTCGATAACTGGTGTTTTAAATTCGACAGCCGGTTCTTCTATTTCGATATCCGGTGTTCCAAATTCAACAACAGGGCTTTCAAATTTGAAAACCGGTTCTTTTATTCCGACATCCGGTGTCTCAACTTCAACAGCTGGTATTTCAAATTCGAGAACCGGTTCTTCTATTGCGACATCCGGTGTTTCAACTTTCACAGCTGGTACTTCAAATTCGACACCCGGATCTTTTATTGCGACATTTGGTGTTTCAACTTCTACAGCTGGTCTTTCGATGCATATAGCTGGTGTTTCCAATTCGATAGCAGGTGCTTCGATTTCGACATCCAGTGCTTTTAGTTCCACAGCTTGCCTTTCAAATTCGAAAAACGGCTCTCTTATTTCGACATTTGGTGTTTCAACTTCTACAGCTGGTTTTTCGATTTCTATAGCTGGCTTTTCCAATTTGACAGCAGCTGCTTCGATTTCGACATCTGGCGTTTCAAATTCGACAACTGATCCTTCCATTTCGATATCCGGTGTACTAAGTTCCACACTTTGTCTTTCAAACTCGACAGTCGGTTCTTTTATCTTGAAACCCAGTGTGTCAATTTTCACAGCTGGTTTTTCCATTTCGATAACTGGTGTTTCAAATTCGACAGCCGGTTCTTCTATTGCGACATTCGATGATGCAACTTCCACAGCTGGTCTTTCGATTTCTATAGCTGGTATTTCAAATTCGACAGCCGGCTCACCGATTTCGACATTCGGTGTTTCAACTTCCACAGCTGATATTTCGATTTGCACTGCTGGTGTTCCAATTTCGACAACCGGTTCTTCTATTGCGACATCCGGTATCTCTACTTCCACAGCTGGTCTTTCAAATTGTACACCCGGATCTTTTATTTCGACATCTGGTGTTTCAACTTCCATAGCTGGTGTTTCGATTTCTATAGCTGGTGTTTCCAATTCGATAGCAGGTGCTTCGATTTCGACATCTGGCGTTTCAAATTCGACAACCGGTCCTTCCATTTCGATTTCCGGTTTACTAAGTTCCACTCTTTGTCTTTCAAACTCGACAGTCGGTTCTTCTATCTCGACAACCAGTTTGCCAAATTGGACAACAGGTTCTTCGCGTTCGATTTCGACATCCGGTGTTTCAACTTCCACAGCGGGGCTTTCAAATTCGACAA